TTCTCCATGTCCCTTTTAAGGCTTTGAAATATTTCAAACTAGACCTTCTTATTACAGTTTATTTGAAGTTATCATGATTTATTACATTTAAACAGTAATCTTGTCTTATATTGAACTTTTGAACTTTATTTAAAACTGTCAACGTTTTATGACTTGTCAAATTTGTCAATATTTCAACTACACCATGATTAGTTCAACATAAAATCTACACATTTTATTGAGTTTGAGCTCATATAATATAACATATACTGTTGGTGGTACTAGTTGGTAAGGAATGCTCATGCTTCCAGAGTACTTAATCTTTTGAACACTGAGTGATATGATATATGATATCACTTGGAGTAATGGCTTTACGACTGTTCAGGTGTATATCATATATTTATGCAGCATGTAGAGCAACTGCTGGAGTTGAACCGGTTCATACCCTACGATTCTGTAACTCAGTACCTCTTTCTGGCATTCTACATAACTGTGAAAATGTTAAAAACATATTAGAAACTTAAGACCTCTGTCAATTCTACATTTCAGTGTAGATTTTCCTGTTGTCAGATTGCCCGTCTGAAAAGTGCTATGAAGCATCAAAATTGCACCATATCAGCTGGTTCAGCAACCCAAAGAATACTGTCTTTAAAATATTTTGATTTCAATATTGTTTCCTATGGATACTTGTGTAAAATCAGGTATCATCTTATATTTTCACATGAAAGGGTCTTTTCCACGTAGAATGACCACCCAGATATATTCAAATTTTATTATATCTTATCTGATGTAAATTGTATGATCATAACTGAGTGAAACTTTGATCATTGTACAGGGTAAGAAAATATGAAGAGAAAATCAAGATATTGAATATTAACTATCTTACAGTCAATAACTTGTTGACACATCGTGAAATTTTATACCCTTCATGTCTACATGATGTATTACCTATGATTGGTTTATGGTGCCAGTAACCTCATATATATGGAAGCAAATATCTTTAAAGTGTACTGGTTATTGCTTTACTTCCGACATTTCTGCACCTTATTGAATTGATGATGAAAGGCGACATCATGCAGTTTACAATGACAGAAAATTTACTAGAACAATAGTGTCAATGTTTATTGTTTGTGTTCCATACGATCAAAGTTTTGATTGCCAGCATATAACATTCTCATACCCTTCAAATTTACAAGCCACGTTCAAAGCCCCTTGTACTAAAGACTGTACACTAAAAAATTCATTGACAGTTGGAAATCTGCAGGATTATACTACTGTCCTGGGAAAATTACATGGAATTGTTTGTCTTCAGAAATCTAATTTTGAGCAGAAAAGTAGAACATAAAACTCCACTTCATTTCAATTCACATATATTAACCTGTTTTCAGGCTTTGATTGTAGCTTTCGATGACCAACTTCTTCTATTGAATAGATAATGGATGTTTCACCAAGTAAAAAAATAACAAATGAATCATCAAAGCTTAATACTGTTATTAGAATAATAATAGAGTATTATAAAGAAATGAAGGGTTGATTTAAACTGTTGACAACACCAGGTGTCTTGTGGATGTAACCAACTTAGACTCATCTTCACAATGTACAATACTATAAACTGTGTCTAATACCTTGACATCATTAGACACTTTTCTTGTATCAGGGACGATTGTGAATGCACCGCTGATTGGCTCTATTCGCGAGCGTACATACTGCTATCATGAACTGTGTCTAATACCTTGACATCATTATTCGCTACCGCGTAATCCAATCAAATCACTGTGATACAAAAAGAGTACTTAATGATGTCAAGGTATTGGATACAGTTCAGAATAGCTTGACATTGTGAAGATAATACAGACTAGACTGACCTTGACGCTTTATATGCAAAGATTGACTCATCTATTCACAGAACTATGAAGTGTCAACAATAGTTTCAAAAAAATCAAATTTAACATGATAAAAGTGATCTGTTTATGAAGGATGGGTATGTCTAGCAATTTAAGGAAAAATGACTTTTTGACTACTCTTTTTTTGTTGCTATGATGTGTTTTCACAGCCCAGTAAGCTTAAACAACCTAGCAGTTAAACCCCATTTTCAAGAACTCTTATTGTCAAATGATATTTCAAAGAATTCCAAGATCAATTTCCGAATATTTACTCTAAGAATTCCAAGATCAATTTCCGAATATTTACTCTAAATGTTTGGTTGTACTGCTTTTTAAAAGAAACCAGAATCTAAGTAATTTACTTGTCCATGACAAATTGGACCCCATTCCATTAACGCTCTGAAACAATTGCATTATGTGTTTTAGATTTGTTTATATTATTTGTAAACATTGTATTATTTCAGTCTTTTCAGAATTTACATTGTTGTAATTTCTCTTTGCAAGCAGCGACGTACATTAATAGTACCATTTCAATTTAATCTTGATTAAGATTGATAATTGATGTAAAAGTAGTATTTCCTTAAAACCTTGGCCAGTGCTTCCATAGAAGAGTAACACCCAACACCAGCTATCCTAATATTGTGCATCAGAGAAACATGTTGTCTGTGGAGTAAAGCTGTTTTTGAAAATACAACTGTACTTTTTTTAACAGTGGATAACGGTATACCTTTATTATTGAGCATCTTGTGTCATAACATTGTACCTAAATACAGACTATAAAGGCATTAAGGAGCTTTTTAAAACAGCATGGGGTGGATTCAATGGATGGTCTAATTTCTAATATGAGGTTATTTTTAAAGAGTTTTTATAAATCACTTACAAAACACTATGTATTCAAATCTATTCTTGTAGAACCAAGTCTTTGTACTGAGTTTAAAGAATATATGAAACATGGTTTTAACTAACCCTGACCATTTTCAGCTAAAACAATAAAAATGGGCGGCCAACCAAATTTAAAAATTTTAACATGCCAAAACAAAACATCCTTTCTAATCTTATCTGTGTTCAAAATAGAACCCAGAGTTTCATTCAAATTGGCTGAAATATAGAGTGAACATTCAGAATGATGACCTTAAACAATTCAAACTGAATGATTTTGCTACAAAGAAAGTCATTAATTGCTGTAAATGCTACAAGTACAATACACACATTTCCTGCTTTGTCTTAAAACATATTCAAAATATTCAATTCAGCACTAAAATTTCTATTTTGTTAAAACATATTTTATTTCATTCTAATCTGAAAATCTTGAAAGGTATTGTAAAAGCTTTTGTAAACTTTATCTACACAATAAGTTGAGGGTGTTGTGTGCAAAGCATACCATGCTTATTCTTTTCAAAACACCTGATGGTACTTCTCTTTAGAGTAGTCCACTACCACACAACTTTTACTCTTGATTTTACCATATTTTGGACGAGATTTTGCCTTACTTGTTTGAATATTTTTTTCAACCTTGGTAGCTTTACAGGTTGAAGCATTGACAATTGTTACCTTGCAGAAATCTAAATCAAAGTTAAGTTTTAGGAAAGAATAACATTGTTGTTACAGTCATTAAACTATGCTATCCTAACAAATCATATAAAACATATACATTTCTCGCATTGAACTTTATTGGTGCACCTTATACAACCTGAATAGTATAAACATTTTTAAAAAGCAATCCTTCTACAATCTTTGACATTAAGTCAACCTTGACTCGATGAGTCATATTCATAACAATCATTGTTCAAGTTTGTCAATACATACACCGTGCATTCTTCCGATTTTGTATTCAATGTATATGCATATCATAGAATGTTTTTGTACAGGGACCAATCCTTCCCCTTATGTTACATGTATGGAGTATTCAGCCTTAGTTAAATGGTAAACTTGGTAAAAACAGACTGCGTATTGTCACTATAGTCTGTCAAAACTATATAAAAACATGACAACTTTACGCTTGACTTAAATAGTTTCCTGTTCTTTATAATACATCATCTATTGTCTTTGATTATCCGGTTTATTTCCGATCTTAGTAAACATTATTATTGCTGACATAAGCTTTTTACAAATAATGTCTATCTTCTATAAGGGATTTATCTTTCCATAAACTACTTTTACAAAATTTGTAAATCATATCATTTTGAGGACAGGGTGGAGCATACTTGGTCAGAGTGTTGGAATCTTTACATGACATCATTGGCAACAAATGGTGGTCATGGGATTATATCAATCTGGTAATCTTGAAAAAATCGACTTAGCATTAAATGAGGTCGGATAATCCAACAAAGATCAATGGCAAGAGATTTGACCAAGGATCAGCTGGTAGACAAGATTCTTGTGATACTAAGTTGTTATCTGTGTGATATATGGATGGTTCTTGCTATATTTCAGAGAATACAGATACAATATACAGTCACACAACATTCCCATTGGCACCACCGACCTTATTCTCCAAAACTTAACTTCAGATGATTTTAGTGTTCCAGTCATCTGATTGGTCAAACACTAAAATCAATTTTAAAAAGATTATTATCCAATCAGATTATTGTATATTCTAAAATCTGGATTTTATAATAAGTAAGTGTTGGAGAAAAAGGCCCTTGAACAGTAAGCAAGATAAAATGCAGAATGGACACCCTTTGGAAGATGTACTTGACCAATGTGTGGGGTATGAAATCAAAAGGATTAAGTAGAAATATCAAGCATGAAATAAAACAAATCATAGTTTTCATAGTTATAACCTAGATTATGGCAGGTTTTATAGTGTCTATATCATATCAAATTATAATATCTTACACTAGCTACTGGCAGGGGGCTGACATTAAGATTTCACGCCCTTGCTGCTTTAAATCAATTCAGGTATATGTTGTACAAAATTACAAACATTTCTTTATGTTCAATAATTTTTATACCTCAGCATAAAATTCTAATCCTTTAGAATCAGCATAATCTGTGAGGCATATAGGACATTACACTTTAGGTGTATCTATAACTAGCTACAGAATACATGTTGTCATGGGCATGACTTTGGCTAGTATTAGCTTCATAATAACTTATCATGGGCATGATTTTGGCTACAAATAGCTTTATAATACATTATGTCATTGGCATGACTTTGGCTAGAATTAGCTTCATAATACATGTTGTCATGGGCATGACTTTGGCTAGAACTACTTTCATAATACATTCTGTCATTGGCATGACTTTGGCTAGAATTAGCTTCATAATAATACATTCTGCCATGGGCATGACTTTGGCTAGAATTAGCTTCATAATACATTCTGTCATGGGCACGACTTTGGCTAGAATTAGCTTCATAATGCATTCTGTCATGGGCATGACTTTGGCTAGAATTAGCTTAATAATAATACATTCTGTCATGGGCATGACTTTGGCTAGAACTAGTTTCATAATAATACATTCTGTCATGGGCATGACTTTGGCTAGAATTAGCTTCATAATAATACATTCTGTCATGGGCACGACTTTGGCTAGAATTAGCTTAATAATAAAACATTCTGTCATGGGCATGGCTTTTGCTAGAATTAGCTTCATAATAATACATTCTGTCATGGGCATGACTTTGGCTAGAATTAGCTTCATAATAATACATTCTGTCATGGGCATGGCTTTGGCTAAGTTTAGCTTCATAATACATTCTGTCATGGGCATGACTTTGGCTAGAATTAGCTTCATAATACATTCTGTCATGGGCATGACTTTGGCTAGAATTAGCTTCATAATACACTCTGTCATAGGCATAACTTTGGCTAGAATTAGCTTTATAATGCTTTCTGTCAAGGGCATGACTTTGGCTAGAATTAGCTTACTAATAATACATTCTGTCATGGGCATGACTTTGGCTAGAATTAGCTTAATAATAATACATTCTGTCATGGGCATGACTTTGGCTAGAATTAGTTTCATAATAATACATTCTGTCATGGGCATGACTTTGGCTAGAATTAGCTTCATAATAATACATTCTGTCATGGGCACGACTTTGGCTAGAATTAGCTTAATAATAAAACATTCTGTCATGGGCATGGCTTTTGCTAGAATTAGCTTCATAATAATACATTCTGTCATGGGTATGACTTTGGCTAGAATTAGCTTCATAATAATACATTCTGTCATGGGCATGGCTTTGGCTAGAATTAGCTTAATAATAATACATTCTGTCATGGGCATGACTTTGGCTAGAATTAGCTTCATAATACATTCTGTCATGGGCATGACTTTGGCTAGAATTAGGTTCATTTATCCACTTTAACCTGTAGCTAAAAATGATCTAACTCAACTCTAGATATTTTACTTTTAAAATTTCAAATAATAATTTCTTTTCTAGTAAATGTTAAATCAATTTCCAAAGGAAAGGAAAGGGTTAGATATAGGGTCTATCTTCATTCAATTGGCTCAAACAGACCATAAAGGTCTGGAGTGTGTATAATATATGATAATAGGCCACTGTAAAATCAGACCACAATGTAACCTGATCCCTAATATACATTATATATAGTAATCTGAAGCCTAATAAACACTAGAGATTATAATAACTCCTGACTTTTATTCAAACCATCCTCTCATCTTGGGGTCAATTTTACAAATATCATATACAACAGCTACCCTATTGATAAATTACTATACACAGTCAACTTTTTAACAATAACTGGCCTTCTTGCAGTTGTCTTGAGGCAGGCAAGGTCATAGCATTATGGAGGCAAATGAGGAACATGCCTCATTTTTGATCAGATGACCAAACTTAGAAATATTTTTGTTTTGATAGGGTACCTCCACTCTTCAAGACCACCTGATATCATTCTGTAAATGGGTTTGACGATTCAACATTTCTTTCATAGAATCCACTATTAATCATTAGTATATCATATACCTGCAATGATTTATGATCCTATCTACAAGACACAACAATGTTTATAATGTTACTGTAAAATATTTTTCTGTGCCATGTATTTTTGTAAAAACTCCTAGAAGCAATGTATAAATTCTAAAAGTAATTACATGAATTGATGAAGATAGTTATAGAAGAGTTATGTCCCTTGACACAATTTGGATGATTTCAAATCACTATTTAAGAGATAGTAAATATATAACTCAATGATTGTTAGCATAATTTCAATATATTCATGTACAATCTAAAGAATTGTATTTATTATAGGCAAATCAAGGACAGTTTTAGAAGTTGAATTGTGTACAGGAGTTTGATAAAGAGGATGTAATCTGGAGTTATTTCCCTTTTACTTTGTTATGTATATCAGTTAATATTGAAAGATTCCATACCCTGTGTATATTTGCACTGTGTTGTTTATTTTATTGCTTTTCTTTGCAATGTTGTATAAGGTAGAATAAGCCTACATTTTCCCCATTTTTTTAAGAATATGTAAACATGTAAAAAAATTGATAATATGTGTAAAAGTGGTGATATTTGTGTGTAAAAGATTCAACTGAAATGGAAAGAATATACCCATGTATTGAATTGTGTACAAACTGTCTGCCCCTCTTGAAAAGTAGTAAAGGTACGTATTTAATCAAAACATTGCTTACCTTCGCAGCCTTTTCTTTCTTCATACACACTGGACTCTGACACACTGTATAATCCTCTTCTGAAAAGATTAAAATAAACAAAATATTATTAATAATAATACTAACTGAAAAATAGAAATTTATTCCAATCTTTGAATTTGTGTTTTGACACTCTATAATCTCATGAATTGTCATTTAATCAGTATCAAGTTGGATTATCTTCTGCTTGATGATTAGGTGCAAATCTTCTTCAAGATAAGAATGATTCTGATGATACTGCTACTGTTTCCATGAGAGTAGGCTCAATGTCAGCTTTCAACAAAAATAATACATTAACAGCTCCAAATCAGAATTTTTGGAACAAGAATATAAAGAAGACATTATTACCTAGAATGGTTTGAAATGTCAATTTTGGAGTAAAACTAAGATTTTTGATCATGTAGTGTGAAGTTTTAGTCTTTTTCACAAAAGCTGATAAAGTCTCTTTTAGGAACATTATGCAAGATGTATATGAAACTTGATATAATAGTCAAATTGTTTTTTCCCTTTCACTTTTTCTCTAAACAGTCAGATGCAAATAATAACACTGAGTACAACTAATGATTATACAGGACTTTAACTGTAAACTGTAAATAAAATCTTGAAATGACATCTCTATTTTTTGGCTCTGATTTGCAAAAATCAAACAATTAAGTACAGCTCTTAGTTCTTTGGTTTAAATCAAATTGGCACTTGACATAATCTCTTTCACTAGATCAAATAATTAACAATAAATCAATCCACTTACAGATCTAAAAATGCAACAAACCCAAAAACAAAATAGAAAGAAGAGACTTGAAATGGTAAACCTTATCGTCACTCCTGTTGAAAGAAGTACACCTCAAAGTTCTGTCATCTGAATCAAACTTGTTTTCAGAGTAACTAACTAATCACACCTCAACCAAATGAATCAATTCCTACATTCCCAAATACAAAATAGAAACAAGAATCTTGACATAGAAACCCTTGACAACACTCCTGTTCAAAGTGTTACAACTATTAGCTCTTTCATCTGTATCAAGATTGTATTCACATTGACTAACCATGAACTTTATCAAACCTCAACACAGTGGACCACTTCATCTATAGGTAAAACATTTTCAAGTGATGATTTTGTTGCAACACTTGCCATTTCTTACTTTCATTTCATTACTAACTTTAAACGTTTTTAAATGAAGACAATTAACTTATTTAAAGGGAAGGGAGAAGAAGAGAGATTAAATGTAATGACAGTATGACAGAGACAATACAGGTAAATCAATGTCAGTGATGATATTAGTATATCTAGAAGATAACAATAGAGGAGTATTGATATACACCTTCAGGCTATATTATATTACACATTAGTTCAGATGAAGACAGGTAAAGAATTTCACCTTACATTCAGAGGATGAGTAAATTAGCCGTGAAATCCATGCAACTGCATGTATATTGAGAGAAATTCATCTTGCTTGCCTTTCCAGCTCCAACGAAATTAGGTGCTCTTGTTAAAACTGAGCAGTGTTTGATGCATCTCTAGGATCTCAGGTTCTTGCTCCATTAGAATCTCTGATCTGAGGAAGAACAATCCAGAAGGATGAACTATTTTGAGTGATATTTAGATCAACAGCAATCTCCTGGCATTTAAACAAGGGTAAAAAACTTGCTGTGGGACCAAAGCTCCAATCATGAAAGTCTACTAACAAAATGTTTGTAGCAGGCATAATAATGATGACAGTATCACGAAAAGTAATGATTTTATCTTTGGATTGACTATGACATTCATGATTAGCACTCCAAGCACACAATTAGATTAGAGGTGTTGTGGAAGGAAGAGTATGCAATGTCATGATGACCAGAAATACAGAGTACATATAATTGATATGGAAATCAGCCTTTGAAATGGTGAAAGGAAGTAAAACATTGCCATTTGGTGTAGAACAGAAGATCTTCACTGAAATACTTATTAATGAAGATCCCAATCACAAAGTGGACATGGGTGTTGAGGAAGTATGAACATGCAAATTTTGGATGACCAGAATTGTATTATATATTGGGCTTCAGGCATCCATCTTTTAAACTGCCATGGTAAGTGACATCACCATTTAACATTTGCTATGGAACAGCTGGTCTATGCTTAACAACTGATGAAAATCCCTATCACAGAGTGGTGATGTGTATTCTGGATGAAAGCTGTGAAGACAATAGTTAGAGACAGTATTGTCATTTGCCTTCAGGCATGTATCTTTCATAATGTTCATGATCAAGATACATCAGGAATTTGACCTTGGATTTATCAACTCATCTGTTGTATTAATTCCTATGATTTGACACAAAAGGTGACTATGAAACTGAAATTTGATCATTGTAATTTGAAATTAAATTCCACAATAGATCTATCTGAAATATAGATCTACATCTACAATCTGTTCAAAGTTCATTATTAGGGTGATAACCAATTTTTCTGATGCAAATTGGACACATACTCTGCTCTTTAAAAAGTACAAAAGAAATTTGTACATATTATGGAATTAAAAATTTCCAAAAAATTTTGTCAAACTTAACAATACCTCATTTGAAAATTTATTAAACACATTTTTCCAAATGATACAGTTGTCAGAAATACCAGGACAAACCAGGACCATAATAGACATGACAATATGACTTCATGACAATAAGTATTCCAAATTTACAGTTGTGCTTGGCTTAAAAATAAAGAAACACCGGTCTCCCAATTCAATGCTATGCCCCAAGATGGAATAACTCACCTTGCCTTGGATTGCCATCAATCAATTAAGAAATATGACTATAGTGGACATCTACATCCAGACACTTGTGAATTATTGCTAGTAAATCAAAATTCATAATTATAGGTGACAATAGGTAAAATTTTAAAAATAGTCCCAATGTTGACATAGTCAAAATAAGTAATTGATCTAGCCTGGGGGTAGATAGACCACCCTCCACTTGGGGTAGATTTCAAACACAAATTGACCATTGTTTACACTACACTTCAAAACTCAATAAACCAATCAGACGACACAATTCATGTCAACAAACCAGCCTTAAAAACTAATACCACTGTCAATTGGTCAACGCTAAAACGAAAGTAAATTGGATTTTAACGACTTCAAAAGATAGGCTTGTTTATCCAAAAGTTAACCGGGATTCCAAACACAATGGGAAATGTTGAGAACAAATAGTTTATAAGTGAAAAAACATGCTTTTTATAATACTATTCCCATTTGTAAAGCTTAACTCTATATCCTTAGCTATTCATTAGGACTTAAACACAACGTGTTTTTATTAAACTTTCACATAAGAATAACTCACTTAATTCATTATTAATATCGGCAAATATTAAAGGGACAGCTTCGCCATTTGTGATTGATTTGAGTATTGAATATAAGTGAATAGTCTTCAGAAGTACTAGAAATATACAGAAATCGCAGAATTATTCAAAAATATCTCCAACTAGAAATTTCACTTTCTATTTCTATATATGACTTTTCTCTATATGGCAGTGTCTCAAGAAAGACAAGTCATCTTTTTAACTTTTAAACTTAGATAATTCTGGACACACATGGATTTAAAGGCTCAAATTTCGACAGTGAGACAGTATTCGAAGACACACACTTTCATTTTCCAATAATAATAAAGGCGGAACACTATTACTG